TTCTATTTTATTTCATCGCCAATTTCAGGATTTGTGAACTGGGGTCAAACTTCACCACTCTCTGTTATTTATTCTATTTATGGACTTTAATTTAATGACTTTACATTTGTTTTTTTCATTTATAATGTCACAGTTATGTTTGTTTGGACACCTTTTTCCATCAGTTTTGTGTTTGTTATGTGAGCAAGAACATTTCAATAATTCAGGGGTAGGCAACCTACGGCTCAGGGGCCACATTACGCTCTTTAGCCCTTCTACTGTGGCTCCCTGTGGCTTTGACAAAAAATTACATTTAAACGAATAACAGTTACTTTTTTAACATTTCATTGCAATTTGCATTTATCAGTGTTGTGGCCCTGAAGTGATTCTTACATTTTCCGGTTGTATAAATGTGTAGCCTAAATGCTGAATAAAAAAATACTTAAACATCTCGTCATATGTGCGTCATACGGCCTGGCGCCTTTTCCTTAAATCTGCCAAATCTCAATAGCAATGGCTACGCTCGCGTCTCCTCAGTGAGGCTAGCTAATCAATTCCAAATCCTCACAGTGAGTGGACAGATTTGGTTGCTTTCACTGCTAACGCTGCAAAGTTTAAGCACCAAATAATCAGGAAGTAAAGCTACTTTGTTGTAATGAATGCTCATTTAGACCTATTACAAATGGTTATAGGCTAATGTACATTAAATAGGCGGTGCTGACATCACTTTAAGTTTGCAGCTCCAGATGGATTTTTAAACTTTTTTTAGTTCAAAGTGTCTCTTTTGATAGTAAAGGTTGCCAACCCCTGAAATAACTGATGATTTTTATGTCTGTATGTTTATTTTTTCCTGTCTTGTTGGTGGATTTCTGTAACATCTCTTAATTAAAGAGAAAAGCACTGTTTTGTCCTTGTTAAGTTTGCCTAAATTAACTGACTGCCTGCAAATATTGCAGTTTTAATAATCTGTTTTATCAGTATCCTCTGATTGAGTGATTATTGTAATTTCTATGCTGTCTCCTTGGGGAAGCGTTCCTTTTTGAGATATAGCACATTAATACTTTTTATATTCAGACACAAACACAATAATCCGTGATCTAAATTAATTTGCTGATAAATGCTGGTTTACTGATTTTGCATCCATCACATTAAACTGGATAATTTAGATTCATAGCATCTTAATTGTGTTCCCTGTCTCGGGTAAAATGTGACCACATAGCTCAGGAAACAGTTCTCCAAACAATGGCATAGTCCAGGGGTTATTTATTTTATCACCAGCTTTCAAGTGGACAACACCCGGCAGCAGCAAAAACTGTAAACACACTGTTTTGTAATATGCAAAATAATGTGTTTATGCAGTACCATCTCTTGTTTGTGTTGTGACAGTTTGCCCAAAGTCACAAACACCTTGTCAGCCTTGTCTTGATTTGTTAAACACTTCAACTGTTTGTTAGTTTTAATTGCAGTTTCAGGTATTAAAAACACAAACAAATGAGAGTGACAAACACTTCATCTAAGAGCTGCTGTAATAACATTAGAAAACTGACCCCGGAGCGATTTGTGACCAGAATTTCAAATGATTCGATTTTCAGTATGACTGCAGTCTTGTGAAAAAGTGCATCTGTGGTTTGATGCTGAGCTTGAGTCAGCCACAGATGAGTAAGCTTATAACAAGTGCGCCTCTAAAGTTGTAGAAAAAATCAATCCAAGTTGCAAGTTTGGCAATCGAAAGAAGAAAAAAAACGTTTTAGAGTAATTGCATTTTCTAGCTTGTATTATGAGATGTTTCATAATCGAAATCATAAGGACTGTGCTGTCAGGCTTGAAATTATATCCGTTAATATGAGCTGTAACTGCCAAATTAGCCCATTAGAGAGGCCAAATCCCACAGAGGCGTGCTCACTCCCACAGTGTTGGGGTTTCATCTCTAAAGAATTTCAAGAGGCCATCTGGCCGCAGAGCAGGACAATGGCCACAAAGCAGAGTGTGCCATCTATTTCACCTGCAAATCAGCCTTTGGAGATCCTCGACCCCCCCAGGACTTTTACTCAACTTTTCTCTTTTCACTGTGTCTCTTTTCATAGTCAAAGCAGCCATTATCACTGACATGTGCCCAAACCAAATCCTACTAATGTTTACTCCCACTTGGGGCTAATGTTTACTTGTAATACTACAGCAGCGAAGGGACTGTGTTCAAGCACAGAAGACAGAGCAAACATCGCATTTACATTTTTAAACACCTCAATAATGCCAAGGACAACCAATATTAAGTGTGTTAGTTTTGCATTTGGAACAGATTATCTCACATTATGTTCCAGTGAATTCATGTCTACATTGCCACTCAAGAAATCAATAATCAAAGTATCCCATGGGTCCAAAGCATCCCATGGGAGCACAGTTTCCCCACCCATTACCGCACTTAAAGTCCCCTAAAGATGTACACTACAAGCTGCTCAGTGCATCATCAGTGAATGAAGCTTTCACCGGTGCAGTGATTGTGTCAATTACACTAATGTTGCTGCATGTATTAGAGCTATACAGTGTATGACCACACACTGAAATAAATCTATGATGTAAATGTTGCTACTTAGGAATGGAATGATATCAATCTGCATGATTGTGACTTCTTGATCAGGCCTTTATCACGCTGTTCAAATTAGAAGACGCTGAATGGAAAAACTGCAGGGGGTAGGCTGACATTAGGACTTGCAAATCCAAAACTGAGCTTAATTCATTTTCATTAATTTGATACTTGGGGTGCACATAGTCTGAGAGAAACACAGGTCTAAAAGTTTAAAGTGAAATATTACACCAAAACTTATTAAGAATTTATCTGAATTTGTAGCTTTGAGCATTTTATTCATGCTGATTATTTACGCAAATGGCGTCTTAGTAAGCTGTAGCCTTAAAGGTTCAATGTGCTGGATGTAAGGGGATATACTGGCAGCAACGGAATATAATAATGCTAATATAATAAGTATGTTTCTTTAGTGTGTAATCACCGGGGGAAAAAAAGGGTTCTCACTACCTTAGAATAAGGCATTTGTAGATACATAGGGAGCAGGTCCTTGTCTACAGACCATTTTTCTACTGTAGCCCAGAATGGACAAACCAAACACTGGCTCCAGATAGGGTCATTGCATTATTGCATTTTCACATTGGCCACGGTAGGTAGCGGGCCCTCTGCAATGACAGCATCGGAAAAAGCAACCCGGTCTCACTCCAAAGTCATTGAATACTGGTGCTTGGTCAGTGGCCTTTGACATTAAACACTTACCAAAAAAGCCACCCTTTCATGTTGGCATGATACGCGGCCGGCTGCCATGGTTGATTAAAAGAGCCTGGTGGTGTCAGGGGAAAACATGGTGGGACAATAACAGAAGTTAAAGGGGCAGAAGTTGGAGGAGGGCGGGCCGGAGGGGTTGTGGATGGGTCCGACAACCACTGACTTTCACCTGGGAGGCCGGTGTTTGCCTCCCATAAGATTGTAAAGCCAAACCCTGTTCTTTTTCCTAAACCTAACCACATGCGTTTGACGTTGAAGAAAATTGTACCGATGTAGTGCATTTATTTTGAAAGAGACTTTAAGCAAACTGTGCATTTCCTGCAAAAATGGAAGTGTATTTTGAAAACAGACAATGCACTTGGAAAGTCCAAGTCAAGCTAAAGCAAATATCGAGGTCGGGGTGAAAATGTGTTGGAAAGATCCAGGTTTTATAATGTGAAACTGTTTTATTCTGTGTTTTTACCAGTATAAATCACTGGGTCTGTTTGATTTGGAGAGGAAGAGATCTCTGTGGAAAATTCGGCAACTGGTAAAAACCTCCTGAACATCTGGATCTTAGGTTATCAGAGAAAAAAATGCACATTAGCAGGTGCTGCATGTCTCCGACATAATGAACAGCATCGAAGAAACACTGATTTATAACATGAAACTGCTTTAATAAGTGTTTTTACTGGTTTTAATCACCTGGTTGGTTTGTTTTGGAGAGAAGGAGACCTCTGTGGAAAATTCAGCAACTGGTAAAAACCTGAACATCTGGCTGCACATTAGCAGGTGCTGCATGTCTCTGACGTAATGAACAGCATCGGAGGAACACTGATTTATAACGTGAAACTGCTTAATTCAGTGTCTTTACTGGTTTTAATCACTGGGTCTGGTTGTTCTGGAGAGGAGGAAACCTCTGCAGATAATTTGGCTCCTGTTAAAAACCTGCTGAACAATGAACACTGAAGGAATTCTAATCGGGAGAAGTTTCAGCTGGTTGCAACCTGCAATCGTCACGACTAGATGTCACTAAATCCCCCTAAATCTGACGCACTGTTTCTTTAAAAGATGCAAACAGTAATAATTATTCAACCAAAGCACTCATTCACATATAAGGCATTTTAGTTCTGCTGTTTATTTGGATGTATTGATCCTCTATGTTGCTTGCGTTTATGGCTGTTGTACTTTAGATTTCCTCTCCCACTACCCCAAATAAAACTATTATACCTCCACACCCACCCTGTAATATAACCCTTCCCTTCCCCACCTCCTGGTCAGCACAAAGGCCAACCACCCCCAGCACACTTTAGGAGGGTGGGGCCCATTGTTATGGACACCAGAGGCAGATGGTCATTTGGGCCTTTTCTCCACATGGCCACTTGTGTGAAGGAATGCCTGGACACCCCATGGATGGCCAGCGGGGAAAAGGTCACCATCTGCTACCCAAAGGTCACCCGTGTAAAAGAAAAAATGGTTTTGGCTATTTCCATAAGTCAGCGAGGACACGACACAGCCAACCCCCACCTCACAACAAAGGAAATTCTGCTGCCAGCACAAGTGATCCTGTTATTAAGGAAAGTGAATGAATCTCTTAAACTCAAAAATAAGGCAGACATCTGATTGATCAAGGAGAAACAAAAAAAAACATTTAATTTTAATGTGAAATCATTTTTTCTTTCCATCAACCCACCTCTGGCAAACGAAAAAACTCAGCATTAACAGAAACACTTAGCTCATTTGTTTTAGTCACAGTTTCCCCGTAAGGCACCAGACACAACACATAGTAGACACTTGGTAGTAATTACCACTATCTTTTATTGCTACAGCAGAATATTTCTAAACATTACAAACAAGAGAGTGAGATAAAATTAAAACAGCGAAAACACCATTTGATTAAACGGAAACATTTCAATGTGTTGTCCTGTTAGAAATGGATTTAAGAATACAGCTTAGTGAATCACAGTATGATGCCGTGGCTGTGGCAATATCTTTGGCAATAACCTGAAGAGATTTCAAGTAATAAATAAAAGACAACTGATCCTTTCAGAGACTTTGCAAAAACTAATGCTGAAAAATCACCATTGAAATGTTGATAATATTATTTCTCTTTCACACATGGATCTGATGAGACGTCTCAGCTGCTAGAGAGTAATGACAGAGGCAGGGAAGTTATATAAAACAGGTGTACATTCTTCATTATTTTAGATTAGTCTCCCCAGCTAAACTTGTGCTAAAGCTAACGTAACTAGCCTAAAAGACTTCAGTAACTGTCCCAACGTTTGACTGTGAAGCCCAGTTCAGACCAAAGATTTGCGACGATGGAAACTGTTTTAGAGAAACGTTGCAGCGGTGTGAACTGGCCGGTCAGAGCTCGACTGAAGCCACCTGATGATCTCACCTGCAACTCTACTGGTCAAATCGTTGGCGACAAGCATGTCACTTGTTTCTACAGCCAATCGGCTTGTAGGGAAGTGACCGCAGACGGCGTGTTCGCTTGCTGCAGCAGGTGCTGCTGTGTGAATGGTGAATGGTAAATGGACTGCACTTGTATAGTGCTTTTCTGGTCTTCTGACACTCAAAGCGGTTCAACACTACATGTCACATTCACCCATTCACACACTGGAGGCTGAGGCTACCATACAAGGTGCCACCTGGTACTCAGTGACCATTCACTCGCACTCACACACAGATGGAACAGCCATCGGGAACAATTTGGGGTTCAATGTCTTGCCCAAGGATACTTCAACAAGCAGGCTGGAGGAGCCGGGGGTTGACGACCCACTTTCCCTTCAACCATGGCCGCCCCAGTGTTGGATGGTGGGTCACTGCTGCTGCTGCTGCTTGTTTTTAATTTTCTCTTTTCACTAATTTCTTGTTATTTTTTGGGACTAATTTCTCTTTTCATTGCTCATTGCCTTCTTCCCATGTTTTTAAAAGAAATCCAGCCAATTTAGCCAGGTGTCAAAGGGTAAATACATACTAACTATTCTCTCTCATAAGGTTAGTAGAATTCCCGTGATTAGCTAAACTTAGTAATGGGATTAGTCCTGTTGTTCACAGAAACGGAAGGTTCTGTTGCTTCATGATTTAACGATCGGCTCAGATAATCACACATTCACTCTGCTTGGCGCTCTGCTGCTCCATCTCTCCAGACAGAGCGCCATGAGTTCGCTCTGCTGATCTGAAACTGTGTTGTTCTGACACCAAAAGGGTATCTTTCAACAGGTTTACGGATAGTCCAGCTCTATTAAGCTCTATTTTTATTTTAGCTCTATTTTTATAGTTACAGTGAATTTAAAAAAGCAGTTTTCACAGAGCTTATAGGCTACGTTATAATATGATTTTGTAATACAGTAATAAATTCAGTAAAGTGTCTGAATTAGGTCTAACAGACTATCTTTTAACTGAAATTTGACCGGCGGCCAGGCAGGCAAATGAGCAGATGAATAGATATGCAGAGTAAAAATGGCACTTGATCTGAATACATTTTATGAATTATACAAAAAGAAAAAAAAACAACAACTTTGAGGCAGTTTGGTTCCAGGTTTCAGCAGCTCTCATCCTGACTGGCGGTGCTGCTGAGGGGATGGTTGGGGATGGCTGCGGCGCTGGCGACGTTGGATGAGAAGGATGAAGGTGATGAAGACAGCTGGTCGTAGCTTGGCAGACTGTCCTGGCTGGGGAGGACATTACAGGTCCTTCCAAGCCGTGGTCTCAGCCTGCCTCCGCCATCACCCTCACCGGCGTCTCTTTGGTCCAGCAGGAAGGTGAGGGACTCTGCGATGCGGTTTAGCGTCTGGTCCATGTGTGTTATCTATGACAGTGGAAAAACAAAATAACACACTGGCTCAGATTTGGATTCACAACTTACGATGCGTTTGACTTTTTTAAATTGAGTGAGGTACTTCTAAGAGCCTTTTTAAAATTCAGAGGAGATTGTTATTCCCAATATTCATTTATCAACAAAAAATGAAGTTTGCTAGGTAATTTAATCCGTGGTTTTAAAGGCAGGGATGTAATGCCCACTTGGGGAAGGAACTAAGGGACACTGTGATTCAACATTTTTGTTTTTCTTTGTTTGACACAAGAAATGAAAGAAAAGCAACATCAAGGTTTCTCTTTTTGTGCTGCAGAACTGGCACAAGCTGCTGAAAGTTTTATATCTGAATCAACAATAACAGGGCCACATGTCTTTGCGCAGATATTTCATATTACAAAGCCAGTTAAACTTTTGTTGCATTACCCAAAACTATTCCCTACTTGAGTTTCGTTTGATAAGTGAAACTGCCAGTGTACGGTCAACAGGGAAGCGTATTTGTTACATTTTCATAAAAATTCAAAATATGAAAACAAGACAAAGGCGGCCGTGCAAATGTTTGACTTTGCTCTTATACAAACAAAAGAAATGATCTGAAACCGTAAACGGCGAGGGAATATTGCTCCAGTTTTTCCACTGAAGTTGCACAAATCCCACCTTGTCCTCCATCCTGTTGAGTCTGGATCCGATAGAGTTTGTGCCTTTGTCTTTAGCTCGGTCTTCAGAGGGAAGTAAATAATAAGACAGGAGGATTAGAAGTGCAGTTTGTTATGTAGTTACTGTAATATATTTTGAGAGAGCATTGGAGTGATTCATTACCAGACCCTGACTGGAACAAAGCTGTCTTCCCTAAAGACTGGTCCAGTCTGAGGGACACAATAGGAGAACAGAGTCAGAATACATACTCTCTCTGTTTCCTCTCTCATTCCCCCGGCCTCTTGTTTTCACAGGCCGTTTTTTTTTTCATGCTTGTAAAAAGCCATCATCCACAATTGCATTTCTCAGGTAATCTAATTCATATGAAACTCTCCTTGGTTGAGCAGTTTACCTTCTCTGCAGCTCCTTAATTCGCACCATTAGGTTGAGGTGACCCTGCGAGTATTGCTCAATCACGTCCCGCACATCATAAGGCTTACGAGCTTGCTACAACAAGAAAGAAAATGTCTGGAACTGTTACATCAAACATTTATTTTCCTCAAGAACGTCTTGTAAACATTTGTTTTTCCTTTTCTGTCAGATATATACATTTTTAAAGGTGGTGCACAGTAATGTTTCATGTTGGTTCTGGTGTATGTTTGCAGGGGTGGTGAAGCTGAGAACCCAGACATCAAATATTATTGTATACACACAGTCACTTTGTATTCACTCAGTAATATATCACTTTTATCTTAGTGGACTTATTGAAAAGGAACAAACCCTTTAATTAGGTTTAAGTAGACCACTTGTTGGAACAAACCCTTTGAAATGAGGCAATCAATCGAGGCTGTCGAAGCTCTGCCAAGATGTCTTTTCTGTTATGCTGCTGCTGAACTGCTCATTTGCAAAGTCTGCTATAACACTACTGCTAACAATGTTAGAGATGCTGCTGCCATGATCGTGGCAGAGGAAGTCTTGGGTATCAGGCCCCCAGACAAATTTTGCAGTGGCCAAACAGTGTAATTACACCGTCACGTGATGCACTGCAGCCCAAAATGACTTTTTCCCAATGAATTACACGATGAAAGAGATGTCTGTAAATCAGTGATATGTTTTTTTTAGCATCACATTCCCCATAAAATGACTCATTTCCCAATCAGGATTTGATCCATTTGGTCTGATAACATTTTGGAAGTCCAGAAGAGCAGCACTGTTAAATAATTTTATCCCCATTCAAGTTTATGGAGCACTAGGGCTGCTCCCAACTAAGAATTTTCCTAGTCGACCAATAGTCATCATTTAGGGCCATTAAAGGGCACTAAATTATATATTTAGGGCGGGGCAACACAATGGTTTGAGTTGAAGGTGTGAGAAAGAATAGTATCAGTAACATTGTTAACACTGTGCTACATTACAGAGAAATACAATACTGTACTAATGACCCTTCATTAATATAGGCCTATATTTTATCTACAAGTGCACGTCACACACTGAGCGAGCCGCCTGTTAATGATGCTGTGGGCTAATGGGCATGTAGCTACTTCCATGTTTCAGATGATACGTCATGTTTGTAGTCGACCAATGAAGATGTTCTCAAAATTTTATTTATTTTTATTTTTATTTAACCTTTATTTAGCCAGGTTAGTCCCGTTGAGAATAAGAATCTCTTTTTCAAGGGAGACCTGGCCAAGACGGTCAGCAGCAAAAACACAAAGTTGCAGACAGAGACATACAGGGAGAACAAGTACAATTCACAAGCACTAAAATTTGCATAAAGAAAAACTACCAATAAATCAAAACGAGTGTTTCTGGGAGTAATTTGAACAAACAGTCAAGCTAAAAACATCGACATCCCATAGAAACTGCTTCCAAGTCCTTCAGTTTAGATTTAAAAACATGTAACGACACGAGCTCCTTCAGTTTTAAATCATTCTGCAACAAATTCCAGGCTGAGGGTGCAGAATACCCAAAAGCCCTTTTCCCAATTTCAGTCCGAGCATTTGGGACAGAGAGCATAAAGAGGTCCTGAGAACGCAGTGAATACTGCCCGGTGTTTTTTTGCGTGATGAAAACACACAGGTAATATGGAAGCAGACCAAGAATTGCCTTATATATAAAGGTGTACCAATGTAGGAGCCTACGGGTCGCCAGGGGGGGCCATCCTACCCGAGAGTACAACTCACAGTGATGAGTCAGTGCTTTACAATTTGTAATGAACCTTAGGGACGCATGGTAGGCTGAGTCAACCATATGGAGACATTGAGCAGAGGCATGCATGTACAAGAGATCACCATAGTCTAATACAGGTAAAAAAGTTGCAGCAACTAGACGCTTTTTTACATTAAAAGAAAAACACAACTTATTCCGAAAATAAAAACCCAGTTTTAGCCTCAGTTTTTTCACCAGGTTCAGCACATGATGTTTAAAATTAAGGGAGTCATCGATCAAGATACCCAGGTACTTGTACGAGTTAACAACTTCTATCTCCTTTCCACCAACAGTGACCACCACAGGTACATTTTGTAACCTAGCCTTTGAGGTGGTAAACAACATAAGCTTCGTCTTATCTGCATTTAAAACAAGTTTCAGCTCATGCAGTTTATCCTGAACAACCACAAAAGCATTTTGCAAGTGCTCAACTGCCAGTGCAAGAGATGCTGCACAGCAGTATAAAACAGTGTCATCAGCATAAAAATGGAAAATGGAAAATGGAAAGTAGCATTTGACACATTTTGACCCAGATGATGATGATCCCACACTTTGGATTTCCTGCCCGACATGTTATTAACTAGCCTGTGGAATAACTGCAGGTACCAGCCCTGGAAATTAACCTGACTCCTGTCTGATTGCTGAGCGTGGACACTTCCTGTGTCTGTCGTTTCAAAGTAAATTCCCACATGGTCCAGTCCTACAGGTTTTGATCTATTTTGACAAGGCGCAGCTCCTAATAAAGTTTCACGTTTGTTTGTTTGTCTGCAACTAAGCGACCAATAAAATCTTGCCGACTAAAAACCTTTATGGTAGACTAATGTCTGGTCGACTATGAGGGGGCAGCCTTACGGAGCACTAAACCAGAAGTCAGCCATTCTGCCGGCGAAAGTGAGCCGCTCTGCCGCACTCAGCGGTGCTTGGCTAAGTCTTTATTGCGTTTGCTCTATGGGCTGCACAGTGCAAAGTAGAGCCAATCAACCCCAGATCATCCTGGTAATTTTATACAAGACAGTTGAACCATTTTGGCTCCATGCACCACTGAGCAACTCTCATAGGAATGAACAGGGCCTCACATTCAACACTGTTTCTAGTTTTCTTAAAACATCTATGCCGGATATCCATTTTCCAGATGTCTGTTGGATACACCCGAACCCCTGAAATATTGACTATTGCTAAATCGTCATCAGTCATCAATAGCCAGTGGGTTCCAAAATATACTAGTAAATTATGTCCTACTTACCTGAAAATTTCTCTTGGCCACAAAATAACGCATTCTCTGGATCACCCGTATGGCTTTTCGGTGTGACTCAGTCAATCTGCATGAAAGAGTTTCATATGAATCACCTGGTGTTACTTTGAAATCTCTGCATAGAAAATGTAATGAGGCTGAGAGTGAGGCGGAAATTACTGTTGGAAATTGCTTTTTAAAGAACATGCAGAGAAAGCACAGCAAAACAAAGAGTAACCCTGTAAAACTTTGACATCTAGGTTAGTCTTCTCAAAACACGACTTCAGCTCCTGGTTTATCTTCCCTGCATGAAATAAATATAACTGTGAAAAGATGGTTGACATGGCCTTCATACCCAAGCTCTACCAATTTAGGGGGAAATATTCAGGGCATCACAGCTTCACGATGACTGATAAGTCTACATCAAAAGCCTTTCCCTTCTGACTTGTCTTCCTTTGAATGTGATCAAGGTGAGCTACAGTAACAACAAAGAAAGGGTGATTTTTGTGTTCCTCCAAAAATCATAAATAATAGCGTAATTGTAGTGCATTTAGTCTCTATTATTATGTTGTGGGAATTATTAAGGAGCTATTACTCATCTGGGTTCATTACCCTGAAAAAGCAGTAAATGAGTAGGCCCTGCGTGAGAGGGAGAGAGCAGCTCTTTGTTAAGCCCAGTTAGGTAAAAGACTACAGGAACAAGGTCTGCCGGGGTCTCATAATGGACTTTTCATAGGTGATGCAATGGGCTGCTTTTCAACTGCAGCCTTCACAACATTTTGTCAAATTAGCACCATATCATGAGATGTAAATAAAGTGCTCTGTGACCTGTTATAAAACTCCATTTCCACCACAAATGGCAGTGATGTAACCAGAAACACAGAGAGCGAGGCAAAAAGGTGGACACAACTTCTCTCGACTCTAATGGCAGATGGCGGATTCTACTAAAAGTGCAGTTTGAATGGTGAGTGTTTCTGATCTTTACCCCAACATCAGTGAGTATATAGGGACCTGTACCTGTTACCTTAAGAGAACTTAAAGGTTGCAAGTCCGGTATTTTGCACTTTGAGCCCCATTTCTGGATTGTTTATGATGAAATAGAGTGGTTTAGACCAAAATAGCAACGATTGCTTATTTTGGGAGAATCTGACTTTCCCCTGCCTGGCTTAACACTGCTGTCTATGGCCATGTGTGAACCTGTCCTAAAACCACACTAAACGTTCGTTTTCAAAGCCATGAAACTCACCGAGTGGTCGGTGGTGTTCATTGATGTTCTGACATAAAAATCGTAGCAAACTGTGGTTTCCATCCGTGTTTTCACTATTCATCTCGATTGTGTAACTATTTTTTCAGCTGCCTCACACCCGTGTGTAAACTTCCGCTTGATCATTCGTTTGACCCTGAAGCGTTATACACTCCAGCCCACTTGATGGCGATAATGCTCCTTTATGTGGGTGTGGCCAACCGGCAGGAAACCATTGCAATGTAATGGGACACAGAGAAGAAGCAGAAGAAGAAGGTTGGCGTCGTGTTCAAAGGCATCGTACTGGGAAAGTTGTTTATAAGCGAATAATCCATTGTGCAGTTGTTTAAACTTATTACAAAACTTTTTCATCCGTTCTCCACCAGGAGCGCACACAGCACTGTCGAGCCGGCACTTTTGCTGAACTAAAAGACTACAGTGACTACAACCTTGTCGTAAACAACCCCCTTTCTGTTTCCGGTAGCGGATTACTACCAACGGACAATGAGGCTTCCTATAGAAAATCAATGGGGTAGACAAAATGTCAAATAAATCATCACAGAAACCACAGTGTGCTACGATTTTTATGTCACAACATCAACAAACACCACTGACCACTCGGTGAGTTTCATGACTTTGAATACAAACGTTTAGGGTGGTTTTAGGACAGGTTCACACATGGCCATAGGCAGCAGTATTAAGCCAGGCAGGGGAAAGCCAAATTCTCCGAAAATGAGCAATCATCACTATTTTGTTCTTAGCCACTCTATTTCATCATAAACAACCCAGAAATGGGGCTCAAAGTGGAAAATACCGGACTTCCCCTTTAAAGAAATAGTTGGACATTTTGGGATATAAGTTTATTCGCTCTCGTGTAGAGAGTTAGACAAGCAACACATATGGAGACCACTAGCTTAGCTACGCACAAAGACAAAAGCCCAGTTCAGACCAAAGATTCGGGACAAGATGAAACCGGTCTGAGCTCAACTTAAGCCAGCTGATGGTGTCACCTGCAACTCCACCGGTCACATTGCTGGTAGCTGGTTTTAGAATGTAATACATGTTGCCTGGTTTAACAGCAGGCGTGCTCGCTTGCTGCAGCAGGTGCTCTGTCTCTGCCAAGCCCTGTGTTTCCATCCTCATGGGGTGCCGGTGCTGGACGGTGGGTCACTGCTGCTGCTTGCTGTATTTGCTTATGCCCCCCCACACACACAGATTGATCTGTGTTGACATGTTTACAGGTGTTATGTGATACCTTCTCTCTTACTATCACTCAACTTGGTGTTCTTTCTTTGCTCATGTTTCCTGCCATGTTTGACAATTCTTAAAGTGGTTAAATTTATGATTTCTTTTTGAAAGGAACACTATACTGTTATCTAATCACTTTTCTTAGTAAAGAAAATAGCAATCTCTAGCATTTTCAGAAATTACTGAATAATTTCAGGCCTGATGAAAACTGCATTATTCATGTTTCAACAAAATTGTGCTTCAATGTATGAAATTAAAACCTCTGTAACGATCAAGGAAAGGTATTTTGCCTTGGCTCAGCCCCCTCAGTGCATGAATAGAACAGCTTTTGCACCTTTTGTTTCCTCTTGCGATTGGTTTAACTGCTTCATGAGAGAGAAACAAACAATCCGACGTGAGAAACATGAAAAATGTTTTAAGGAGGCTGTAAACCGTTACCTCCCACCAACCTCTCTGCTACAATCCCCACTTTTTCACTTTCACTTTAAAGACCGTGTCTGCTGTGGTACCAGAGGTGTAATTTGCGTTTGTTTGTGACAAATGTGTGGTAGTTTTGTTAAAACACTCAATACCTCCATCATCTTCAATTTACCAAAACATACTGCACTGAAATGTCGATACCAAGGTGGCTGCAGAAATATCACTTCTGTGAACTATTCCACATCAAGAATCAATGCTGCATCTTGTAACAATGACTTCACTGAGCTCTCGGCTGCTGTGGACAACATGGACAATTTGGAATTCAATCTGCAAGTCAGCTTAAAATCAAAGACTTTTCACAGAAATTTGATAAAACCTGGTAAAAAGAGACACATTTTTCAAGCTTAAGGTGTTCTCTTGTCATGGATAACAAGCAGTAGTATCTCATAATGGTTCAATTTAGCATGGGATTTGATGTGGCACTGCTCTATGAGAACAGCTGGTTACATATTTTGGAGTCAGCAGAGCACAAAGTGATCTTTGCCAACAACGCTGCTGCGTGCAATTCCCACTCTGCATCATTACCCCACCGTTTAGAAAAGAAGTCCCATGGGTCAAAACTGTCGCGCCATTTATTTCACTTACGGTGCACTTACATTACACTACAGTTACTTAACACTCATTTCCTCATATCAGTCTCCATCTCTCAGTGTGCAAGTGCCTCTGCAGCCACAAGAGCTTTTTGCCTAATAGAGAATCATTACACAGCAGAGACAGGAGTGCTCTGGGGTTTGGCACACTACAAAGGTTAATTACAGAGAGCAAAAAATACACGCAAACGTTCTTCAACATGTTCATTAAAAAACACTCACACATAAACACAGCGTCAATGCGATTGCACTGCAACGCAATGGAGGTAAACTCACTGTAACACTGAGGTGACAGGAGCCAGCCCGCTGTCTCGCTCTGACTCCAGGTCCAGGTCGTCTGCAAAGCTACAGTTCCTCCGGATGGGGCTCGGGGTTTGGACATCCAAAAGGCCAGGGTTTCTTTTCACTGTATGTTTACACACAGAAACAGAGCAGTGGCACACTCAAGAGGTCTGAAGGGCAGGGGTGGGATAATGAAAAGGGCCCCAGATGTATGCTGTGGGGCACTAGTGTGCAGAAAGTTTTCTAGCAGTTAAGGGCAGCATATTTGACACTGGATCACGGCTTTTCTCTTTTATGGCCACCCTCATTATGTTTGCTCCACTGGATGGAAGGGCATCCAAAAGGGCACTCCCAGATCTCCCTGCACATCTCTCAGCTCAGCAACAGCTGTGGAGCTAGATAAAATCCTGCCAGCTGACGCAAAAACCTGTGGTTAACATGACTGTTTATTAATTAACGTAGTAACAGAACGCTCGAAGCGTGGAGCATCAGATTGGATTACAAACGCACTCCAAGATTTACAAGCTTTAGGTTTGCTGCTATAATACTCACGTGGAAATGATTAAAAGTGCAAAGTTTATACGCTCCAGATGCATCATTTCTTGTCACAATTTTATCCAATATAATACCAGTGTATCAACAGTGTATCAACAAAGCTTTTCACAGTGGACATCTGTGGCCTGACAGACAAGTAACGAGCAAGGCAGACACTCGATGTTTATTTGATACAACTTTTAATAATAGTGTCTCAACTGTCTTTCAATCAATGGCTTACTCATGAAATGAAATGAATCTAGCTGCTCGTGATATAAATTGATAGAAGGCATTTGCAAATAACTGATTCCTGAATATTTCTGAGTTTTGCTGCAGTGAATCAAAGATCCAGTTTGTACAGTTTAGGGGTTCATATTGGCAGAAATGGAATACAAAAAGTATGTTTTCTTTATGATCATGTGCAAATAGGAATATCTGTGTGTTTTTGTTACCTTAGAATAAACCATTTACATAAGCAGTGGGTCCGTTGCATCGCCATGTTTCTTCAGTATAGAACACAGAGACCAAACACTAGCTCTATGGGCCATTTGCTTTTTCGCATTATTTGATTTATTCGGTGTTTTAACCAGTTTAAATCACAGGTTGTGTTTGTTTTGGAGAGGAAGAGACCTCTGCAAATAATGTGGCTCCTGGTAAAAACCTCCGGGACGTCTAGATTGTAAGAAACCAGATAGAAATATGGTTCAATGCTGGTCTAGCGACATGGCAAACAGTATAGGAGAAACACAGATTTGAATGCAAACCTGCTTTATTCAGTGTTTCTACTGATTTTAATCACCTGGTCTGTTTATTTTGGAGAGGAGAAGACCTCTGTGGATAATTCAGCTCCTAGTAAATACCTCTTAAACAATGAAAACTAAAGGAATTTAAATAAAGTTTCAGCTGGTTGCAATGTGCAATCCTAACCACTAGATGCCACTGAATCTCCCTAAACCATATATACTGCTCCTTTAATATTTAACCCACCTAATAAAAAACAGGGCTTGCACTCCTTGACAAAGTGTTCAGAAGTTCATCTACATTATCAACATATAGTCAGCATAACATTACAATGCTGCAACAATGGTGTCTCACAACGCCCAATGGGGAAAGAGAAAGTGATGAGCTGCTATGTTGCATTACTTTGCTAAAAGTCACAGCCAAAGTAAGTGGCTGAAATAAAGAAAATAAATATGCCAAAGCTGCTTCTCTGGGGAAGCTTCAACATTATGACCCAGAGTGACAAGTGAATCTGTCTGTGCATAGTTCAGTTTTAGATTATGACAGAGATGCCATCTTCAAATGGGAGAAATAATCTGAGTTTACAGATTCATCTGGTTAATACTGAGGGGAAGAGGTGAAGCTGAGTGTTAAGAGCTCCTGACAACTTGTTTTATTTCCACAAAACACACGACCTAAGAAGACGTGTTTATTGGATACTGGTGTTTTTTTGCTGCTGGGCTGTCTTGTCTTACTCCATGTATAATGTGGCAATTTTAAAAATTAGTTTGTTCTTGTGAGAGATCTTAATGTGTGTACGGCAGTTTGATTGATATTCCCTTGAGTGCACAATAAAAAATGCTATTTATGAAAATTAAAAAAAGAGATAGATATTTATTCAAAACAACCCAGTACACGTTTGATTGATATTCCCTGGAGCACAAACACAGAATAAATAAATAAAACATGATTAATAAAAATAGAGATATCTATTTTTGTAAATGAAGTAACATATAAGGTTGGTTTGGATTTAGTTCTCAATTTTGGCAATACAAGTCAGGCTCAGCTGGATGCTAAAAATGAGGACTGGTCAGGGGGTTGGTGTTCATTTTATGGAAAATAGGAATACAAAATAAGTTAATAAACAAAAACTATGTATACAAAAAGGGCTATTTTAAACCCCGGAGACAGAGAACCAGGAAGAATCCCTAACTTTGTGCAAGTTGCCGCAGTCCCTAGCACTGAAAGGTCGCCAGCAAAGACACCAGAGTTGTTGTGGAAGACTGTGTGGGAACTTGTTAATTATTTGAATCTGCATATGCAGGGTTTTGAAACTGCACCAGCTAGATAAGTGTGATACAACTGGTCTGAAAATAAAAACATGGTGTGAAAATGTGTCAGCTTCAAATGGACTTTGAATGAAATGGACTTAATTGGTGCTGTCAACCACAACACACAGATGTGACTCGACAAGCCATGACCAGCTGACTGATTTTTTTGAATAACAGATTGCAGAGAAGTGCTTTAACCACTTGGTGGGTTTATGTGGTACTCCAGCACGCATATGGATCTAAGAATGATTTGCTGTTTAAAAAAGTGCTTTAAACTCAAGCATGAAATTGTTATTTGACTCCACAGACTTTGGTTAAACTCTTTTTCCAAACAAACGCAGACTTCCGCATTGCATTACAGATCGAACCTTTAGTCATCCTTGTTCAAGTCTGTGTAATATCTACACTTCAAACTGTACTTGACTTTCCATCTGACCCCTTTGATATAACTATTTACTTCTGGAGTAACAAAGCAACATAAAAACTCTTGTATCTACACGTGTCGTTACCTGGAGGCGGTGAGCTGAACTGAAGTGAAGACAAAGACGTCCAGGACTGCTGGCACTCTGAAGCACACATGATGAGATAAACAAACATAATCAGTGTTTGCTGCTGGGTAAAAAAAAAGCACAGGCACAAACTATGGTGCTAAGCATGCAATTTTCTTTTCATCACTCACACAATTAAGCAACCAACTGAACATATCACAACAGGATCATGCAGTGATGAAAAAAGATGCTGTTAAAGCAGCTGAGACGATGAAGAGGAGGCTGTTAAAAAGGACAGTAGGCGAGGACAGTGAGTGTACTGAGGACGTGTGCAGGATGTGGACACTAACAGCAGCTCACCACCACATCCTCCCAAAGTGTGGGATCCTGTTAAACCCGCTACAGAGACAGAAAATCGAGAGAGGGAAAAAACACAAGCAAGACAATAGGCAGTTACCACGGATTAACTGGATTATATAGATATAGATATATATCTATATATATATATATATATATATGTAAAGAAGGATGGGTCACAAAATAAAACGCTTTCCCCCAAGACTTTCCTCCACGACACCAGGTGAAACCAAATGAGCTTTGAGTTATTTTAAGGTAAGTCATCACCATGTTTCTTTCCCCAAACCTAAGCTATGTAACTTTACATTAAAGATATACTTGTGGAATTTTTCTTAAAGTGTGAAGGTGAATTTTTCCGCAGCAACTCTATCCCGTGTCTGTATTTTCTGACTGTCTTCTTATTTTCTGTGTTCAGGACGCTTATGAGAGTGTACCCCCACAGCGCTCAGGCGTGGTCATGGTTTTATAAAAAGGTAGGGACTAGGTGCCAGACCGTAAGCAACATGCATCCAGGAGACGTGTCGCTAAATGAACGCAAATATAGCAAGGTGAAATGCTAAATTAAAGTGAATCTGGGGTTGGCTTTTACGTTCAGTCATCGACAACTGACCTTTCGCTAAGCCCCGCCCCTTTGTGATGGTCTGACAAGCTGTCGCGTATAGGCATGGAGCCCACACTGTAACTAACTGCACTCCCTGAAGAAATATTATCATATTTTTGGAAAAATGAATCAGTGATTCCAGAGAGAAGCAGACAGAGGGGTCTGCAGTCTGTGTTTGAAGGATATATCCAGGATGTCAAACTGGCTCAGCAGCAACAACAGGTTAAAAAGACAAAGATAGTTAGAAGCTAAAGCCGAACCATAGGCTACAGATCACAGTGTAAAAGGGAACCACCACATCACTGCTGACAATGAATATAATATAATATAATATAATATATTCCCTATAATATAAAGGGAATCTTTGCTGATATTGAACCAGCTGTGTGGCATCACAGTGTGTGCAGATGAACAGTGTTTGGCTTCACCCCTGTGCTGCTGCCAGCAACCAGACCTCCGCCGCTGGACAGGCAAGGATCTCCACGAGAAGTCAACCAACATTCATCTGCACACACTGCAATGACACACAGCTGGTTGAGTATCAGCAAAGTTTCCCTGCTTCCCTTCACTGGTTCCTGTACAGCAGGGTCGGTCTTTGTTTCACTGTTATAATCATTAAAAAGCAAAAGCAGCATGTGTATACATTCAGTAGGCTATATCTTCAGTAGCTAGTTAGCTAACCCTACACTTTTCAGGGTTTGATTTTGGTTTTGGAACAGGGAGGAAACGTATATCTTTTTCCAACCTCTCCAGGTAACGAGTATCATTAATACATGACGTGCCCCAGACACAACATTTAGCTCCAAATCCACAAAACCAGCCTGAAAATGAAGGAAATCTGAAACGACTGCATTAGAGTCAATGGAGCACAGCTGTGTCTGGTCTGAGTTGGCACGATGCTATGTAATGATTGTCCAGTCTGCGTCTGGGGGCGGGACTTAGCAAATGGTTTTACATAGTATAGCTTTATCTACCTAACTTGTAATGTCATTCATGGGATGCTAATTTGTTAGATATCATACGAACAATTGTATGAGGACATATCCACACACACACACACACACACACACACACACACACACAAACAGTACAGTACATATACGCAAAGATGTTTCACTTATCCTATCCTCACTGATATAAAGGAGGATGGACCAAATGCATCTGTCAGTATGACACAAACTACATCCACCAATATGATCATCAAGCTGAATCAACATCTCTCTAAAATAGTTTCAACCAAAAATGAACATTTCAGCCTTGATGAAGAAAGGGAGGGGTCACTGCTGTTTTACACTGCATTAATTTTAGGTATGTGTCCCTGATAAATTAGCAGCTGGGTGTAAGTAATAGTTAATTTTCATCCCTGATGAAAACCAGCATGTGATTGACTACTTATGACTCTGTCTATATTATTCCGAAATCCATTCGGGACAATAACACCATCTGACTCCGTAAGCAGCTCAGCACTTGTGTGTCCAGTCAATATAACCGCACACCAGATGGCAATGTGGCAGTTTAGTTAAATGATTCATAGTTAAAAGCAGCGTGCTGTCGATGTTAGATGTGCAGCACGACCTGTAGAATCTATTTAGCTTCAAATCAAAGACACTGATTTTCATTGAACACGAGGCGAACAGACATGCATACATCTTCCCAACTACGGGGCACATTAAATTCTGCTGTTGCAGTGAGAAATGAGTGCAAGGCAAAACCATTTGCACAGCTTCATGTCGGTGGCAGAACTGCAGTCATGCATCCAGGGAGCTTTTCAGGTTACCAGCTGATGTAAAATAAAAAGGTTATATAACTAAGCACAACAAAGAGTGTGATCCAATCAGATGTTTACATATTACAGGCATGCTAAGAGTATCCATAATTGTCTCCCATTGACAGTAGACAGACTGTCCTTCCCACTATTCATTATGTTATCTACTTTCAACAGATTGACCATTAACGGCCTCCATGCTGCACTGATAATTATAATGATGATAATTAATTTTATTCATATAAATCCTTTGAAAAGAAAGGATTGACGAATATACGCAAAATACTAAATGAGGAGAGAGCATTAAGGGAAACAATCAAGGATCAAATGAATAAACATGAAAAATGAAATGAGTGAAGGAACTGAATGAGGTAATTTCAAAGATGATTTTTAATTAGTGAGTGTTTGGTGCTCTCCGGAAAGTATTTAGGGTTTGATGAAAACATCGCAGTTACTTTTGTTCCAAGTCTGTGAGGAAGACTGTGGGAAGGTCGCTGGCTGAGGATGGCTGCTCTAACTCACATTTGTAATACACTGTCTGTCTGTCTGTCTGTCTTTCTCTCTGTCTGTCTATATGACATGTTAATTGCAGTGGTTGCAGGAAGTATTCAGATTAAGTATAAGTACTAATACACACTGTGAAAATACTCCATTACATGTACAGGCCCTGCATTCAAGGTATATATCAGTAAAATGTACTGAAAGTAAAAGTATTCACTGTGCAGCAAAATAATCCCTGTCAGTGTTTTCCTATTATATCTGATGTTTTTGGATTAATATTACTGCTACATTAATATGTATGTTGCATGTTGGGTAGTTAAATGGTGGGTTCCTGGTTCAATCCCAGGAGGGAGCCCTTCTGTGTGGAGTTTGCATGTTCTCTCTGTGTCAGTGTGGGTTTGTGTCCAAAGACACGCAGGTTAATTGGTGACTCTAAATTGTCCGTAGGTGTGAATGTGAGCGTGAATGGTTGTCTGTCTCTATGCGTCAGCCCTGTGATAGTCTGGTGACCTGTCCAGGGTGTACCCTGCCTCTCGCCCAATATCAGCTGGGATAGGCTCTAGCCCCCCCGCGACCCTCAAGAGGATGAAGCGGTTACAAAAATGGATGGATAGTTAAATCTATATCAGTGGGTTGGATGAACTAAAATGTATACCTGATGATGGTGCTGGAGGAAAACTCAGGAAATCACCAAAGTCATAAGGGCTGTGTTTTTGGCAAGATAAGGCAATGTATTGTGATATAAGGATGCATCGACTTTGAAATTCTGGGCTGATACGATACCAGAGTTTTCAATAACAATGTGGCCAATATCAAAAGATGTCTCCTTAACACGTATGTATTCAAGTTTCTCGCCAAAAACATTTTATAAGATTATACTGAACATGTTCCAAAAGCCAGTCCGCGATGCCAAGGATCAGCACACCAGGGGCCCCGCCCCGCCCCTGCCTGCCGCCCAGCACACAATGCACCCGACCCTGATTTCTGTCCCTGCGGGTGGTGGGCCCACAGTGCGACGTGGTGAAGAGGGGGCTGAGCCGGAAAGCAAAGCTTTCGATTTACTGGTCCATCTACGTCCCAACCCTCACCTATGGTCATGAACTCTGGGTAGTGACTGAAAGAATGAGGTCACGGATACAAGCGGTGGAAATGAGTTTCCTCCGTGGGGTGGCTGGGCTCAGCCTTAGAGATAGGGTGAGGAGCTTGTACATCTGGAGGGAGCTCGGAGTAGAGCCGCTGCTCCTTCGCGTCGAAAGGGGCCAGTTGAGGTGGTTCGGGCATTTGTCTAGGATGCCTCCTGGGCGCCTCTCACTGGAGGTGTCCCAGGCACGTCCCACTGGTAGGAGGCCCCAGGGCAGACCCAGAACATTACATATCTCGTCTGGCCTGGGAACATCTTCGGGTTCCCCAGGAGGAGCTGGAAAGCGTTGCTGGGGAGAGGGACTTCTGGGGTGCTTTGCTCGGCCTGCTGCCCCCGTGACCTGGCCCTGGATAAGCGGATGAAAATGGATGGATGGATGGATACTGAACACGTCATGAGAGCGTTATAATTCACCTTTACCCAATAATCTTTTTTTTTTTTTTAAGATATTTTTTGGGGCATTTTTAGCCTTTATTTGATAGGACAGACAAGCGTGAAAGGGGGAGAGAGAGAGAGAGGGAGTGACATGCAGCAAAGGGCCACAGGCTGGGGTCGAACCCTGGCCGCTGCGGCAACAGCCTTGTACATGGGGTGCCTGCTCTACCACTAAGCCACCGATGCCCCCAATACTCATTTTTACGGAATAGAACTTGAACGTTTCATAATGTAACTCATTGCAGGTGAGGAGCAGACAGGCGGGTACGTCCTCTGACACGACAATAGTGAATTTACTGCATGTTTTCGGTGCCCCAGAAAGATCTATGCTTTCCAGAACACATTCTTCTATTGTCCTGGGCGTGACAGACACCAGTTGCTACTTGCCATCTTGTCCCACAACAGTGAGGATCACAGAGCCCATATAATAAACAGTCATTGTGTTGTTCTTCTACATGCTCATTAGTTTAAGTTTGTGGTCATCAGTCACTGGCACTGCTGTTTAGCCTGCGCAAAACTGATGTGACACAACAGAAAAACATTTGTGAATGTTCTTTTATTTCATAGGCCGATGGCAGTAAGGAAGGTGAATATTCAGCCGATAAATCAGTGCATCCCTATTACCAATTTTTTAAAACTAATTTTAGGAAAACTGCCAATGCTGGCAGCGCGCCCCTTATGACTTCACCTGTCATAAGGTGTTTCATAGGCCTGTGTTCTTACGGTTGTTACGGTGCAGTGAAAGAGGACAGAAACATTAAAGGATCTTGTGGTCAGGAGTTTAAACAAAGCACAAAACAAACCACCGCCACAAATCATTGCATGTAAACAATTCATTAAAATGTCAACACTATTATTTGTGAGAATTGATTCAGTGTCACAAAACATAATATTGCAGTACTCAAGTGTATCTATATTCTCTCCCAGTCCTAAAAATCATTACTCTCACCAGCACTGCTGTTCCCCATTCCTTCATTATCTCCCCTGCATACACACCCGCCCTTTCTCTCCCCAGTCATTTGCCACAGTCTTAGCGGTCCAGCCCTAGTTTCTGTTTCTTGCCAGCCTGTTCCCGGTTACGCCTGCCTGCTCCTCGCCTGCTTAGCTTGGCCTCTCTGACTGATTGCCTGTTGCCGAACTCTGCCTTGAACTTCTAACCAATGATTGATCGCTTTGAACTGCTCTGCCTGTGAATCCTGCTTTTGAGTACACATCTCTGTGTGCAGAACCATTACCACACTGAAGGCAGAGACATTTGTTAAATGAAAGTAAACTGAGATTCTGCTAAATTTGTTCCGTCAACCGCTGCTTCATCACTAATTCAACACAAATTCAGCTTCTCTAAAAACTGCAAAAAACTGATAATGTATTGACGGAGACCCAACACATGGGGCTACCATTTGAATTGCTTCTTTATCTCTTTCTCACCTCTCCACTATTGATCCAGCAGTACAGTACGTTGTGTGGAGTTCTGTGAGTTCAAAAGTGCAACACTGAAGTTCATACTCATCAATGCAACCTCACATTTTAATGCTGCAATGTGCTCGTTTATCTTTTATGTCTGGGCTTTGTCCTAACCCCCTGCTGTGGCTACAGCCCTACAACTGAAGCTCAAATCAATCATTCTCTTTTTACTGTATCATCAGTGATGTAGTGGACGGTACACACCCACCTCTTGTTCTGGCCGTTTTAAGTATAACAGCCAAAAAGCCATCGCAGTATATAGGAGAGTACATCCACCTCCTCCTCTGTAACCTACCCATTTACCCAGTAGTACACCTGCCTCATGAACAGTACTGGGCGGTGATGCATTATTATTACTGTAAGTGTAATAAATTCTAATATTACATTTCCCCTCAAAATAAATAACTTGTTATGAACTTACTTATGCTGTCAGCCCTGTGCTTATTTAAAATCCAGCAATTAATCACTCCCCAGATTCATTTTTGGAATTGTTGCACATGTCATGTACATTACAAAACAGCAAGCTAGCTTGGAAGATGGAAACACTTATCTTCCCATTACTATGCTGTTTTGGGAGGAAAGATGATGCAGGACAACCATCGCTCCACCTAGCTTAGTCCTGGTAAGGTGCTGGAAACATCAATAAGTCCAAACTGGTAGAAAAGATTTCCCAGGAAGAAAGATGACAAAAGCAGCATTGTTTCAGGTCGTGGTACTATGACTTAGCCTGAGTGTCAGACTGAAGCTCCCAGAACCTTCAGTCTGACATGGCTTCCATTGAAGGCGATTTACAAGGGGGAGGGAATTTGATTTTTCCCTAACCAATCAGTAGAGATCAACGACTCACCCAGAATCTGACGTCATTAGTATCCATGCCTCAGGGGTGCCGAAAACAAGCGAGCAATGCCCGTTTAAAATGTCTCCGTCATCGTGCACGCCCAGCTGCATCGCCGTTAAATCCAGTTTAGCAGCTTCGTTAATTTGGTCCTCCATTAACGCGAGTAGTGGCGAAATACCTTGATAGCATCGTTAATGTGATCTGTAGGATCTGTAGCGGTCGCCATTGTTGCTATCCTCACCAGTTACCCACCGGCGTACAGCTTGACATCAGCTTTGCGCTGATTGGCTAATCGCTAGACCCCCGACGTTCATTGGTCCGTCCATCGTTTGGACGAGATAAATCGCAAATTCATTGAAGTATGCCAGACCAGAGATGCAAGCCTACTCAGTTGAGTGGGCAGGGTCTATGGTCTGGAACCAGGCTAACTATGACTCTTTCCACTGCAAAAAAAGGCCTCAAACACCTACTACGACCAGACGCATGACAACGGTGAGCCGGACATCGTGACCCCTATGACTCTGCAAGGGTTCCCACCCACACAGGGTTTATAGCCTGCAACTTCGTACCAGTCATTTAGAACTGAAGAAGCCTCTTGGATGAGAGGCGAAACGTCTTCAAGAAACGCAAGCAAGTCCAGTTGCCTACGATATTAGCACTTACGATTACCATGACCATGTCACCGACATGCATAGATGTAAGTGTGTGGAAATCTTTTCTACCACTTTGAACGTACTGATGTTTACAAAGGTGAGCCAACTCTGCCTCCTCATTCTGTGACTGTACCTTCTTCACCCCTACTGAGGTAGTAACAGCGCCAAACGTTGTCTGTATAAACGGGACAGCTGGCAGGACGGGATCATGGGTGGCACGGGTATAATGTTTTTTTACAATGTGCTATGTGTGCGACCCACTGCGGGAGATTAAAATAGTAACTGATAGCAGTTAGCGGCTAACTCAGAGAAGAAGAACAGCGCCAAAAATGTCCACAAATTGGGAAAACTATGAGGTCCAGGAGCTTCTTACCCTCTGAGCAGAGGACGGTAAATTATTGTCATTGCCATGTCATTGTTATTGTTTATGACGCACTGCAGGTGTGTAATATGTCACTCTAGGGGCCGACGCTGTTGTACTGCATGTCATGGCCATCATTCCTGTTTTGATTCCACAACGCCGGCATGCTGTCTAAAATCACACACTGGAGCAGCATGATGCCGCCTTCATGTGGTTCTGTGTAACAATGCAAAGATGGTATAGAGAAAAGACTTTGTAGTATGATCTTTGTGGAAAAAGAGCTTTTGTCTTTCAAACAGACCCTGTAAAATACTATTCACAGGCAACAAAAGAACCCCAGGTAAAATATCATTTGCAAGCTACCAAGCCTCAGCTGCGCTTTTACCCTGACATTCACACAGAGGTGCGTTTGTTTGAATTTTGAGGAGAAAAGACACAATTACCAATATTATGGGGTGTTAACAGTAAAGTAATATAACAAGTAGTGTAACTAATTCCTCTTGGCAGCAGAAAAGTAATATTACTTTTCAAAAGTGTTTCAAGAAATGAGTAATAAATCAAATTCCTTTGAGTAATGACCCCAACACTGCTCATCAACTACCACGACACCACTGTGTATTGTAAGCAAATGTGTGTTTTGCAGCCAGTGCAGCATTAGTCATTTCCTTTTATGCTTATGTGCGTCTTGAGTGACATTGTCATTGTTTATTTGGATTTTACTGAAACCATGTACATGACTCAGAACCTCATTAGCTGAGTTAAAATCTGCAACAAATGCAGAGACTCTTTAGGCCTTGTCAAAATGTGAGCTCTATTTACTGTAAAATCCGAGGTAACTGTATTTCTAAATATGTTCTGTGTTCTGAGTTTTTTGTGCTGATTAAAGTGAACTGGAACACAGTTTGGTGCATCAGAGATATGCCTATTGTACTGTTTGTCCCATTGTTGGTACCTGTGCCCACAGTGCTGTAAACATCTGAACTCAGCTCCCTCCCACTGTCAAACACAGAGTCGAAGGTGATGCTGGGAATTGTGGGAGAAGTTGGACCGTTGTCCTTGTCAGTGCTCTTCGGCTTCCTCCTTATCTTCACCTGCCCAAGAAATGCAAACATCTCAGCTCAACAGAGTGTTCCTGTGGGTTGCAAAACTATGTTTGAAAAAGCAGGCATACATATACTTCAACCTCAACATGTTGAAAAGTTTCTGCTGTGCAGCAATGTTAAGAATCTGACTGTCTGTTAAAAGAGCACAATAACACAATGAGGCAGTCATCAATGATGTAGTTTTCTATTTTTGCTGAAAGGATGTGTGAGCGTTAAGGAATGATTTCAGGGTCTAAGTGCAGCAGCATAGAAATTACTGTTGCATTATCAGGTCAAAAAAATTACGATTTTATATTTAGCGTATTTTATACATACTGTTATTGTGACATTTCACAACTTTTAGGTCAGACCCTACAAAGTCTACAGGGAAAGGTTTTGACACATGAACAACCTTTTAAAATGTACGCATTACTGTGGGCATGGCCTGATACACAAGTAGCAGTCATATTGAATAATCAATATTAATATCAAAATGCTGCTGGCTGTTTTCTTGGTTGCTTATCTGTTTTTAATTTTTTTTCTGCGTTAATGATAATTCTTTAAAACTTAAATTTCAAATCTCATCAACTAGTTTGAAATTTAATCGTTAAAATCTACTAAGAACTAATAAAAAGGATCATATTTCCTCCTGTTTAAGCCTCTCTGCATTGTTTCCTGGTAAAATCCAGAAGTGAATTTAAAATCCTTCTCCTCCATTTACAAATGTTCAAGCTCTGCCAAATCTTAGAGAGCTCATAGAGCTCTATTATCTCACCAGAACACTGCGTTACCAGAATATAAGGTTACTTGTCATTCCCAGAGTCTCCAAAAGTAGATTGGGAGCCAGAGCCTTCAGCTGCCAGGCTCCTCTTCTGTGGAACCATCTTCCTGTTTCGGTCAGAGAGGCAGACACTGTCTCCACATTTAAGAGTGGACGTAAGACTTTCCTCTTTGGTAATGCTTGTAGTTAGGGCTGGCTCAGGCTTGCTTTGGACCAGCCCCTAGTTTTGAACCAACCCCTGCTGGGAGACCTCGTATGATACAACATTGATTCCAAAAAAGTTGTGACACTGTGTAAAATGTTAATAAAAACAGAATGCAATGATATGCAAGTCTTTTTTCGACCTATATTCAATTGAATACAGCTCTAAGACAACAATGTTCAAACTGATATACTTTATTGTTTTTTGTAAATATACTCTCAATCTGAATTTGATGCTGCAACGCGTTTCTAAAAAGTTGGGACAGAGGCAACAAAAGACTGGAAAAGTTGTGGACTGCTTAAAACATTCAGTCTAAGAACAACATGTCTCATGTGGTGTTTAGTGCAGTGTTTAGCAATGTCGCCTCACAGCAAGAGGGTTCCTGCTTCACATCCATGGTGGAGGTTCGAACCCCGAGGTGGGGGAGCCCTTCTTTGTGGAGTTTGGTTAATTGGTGACTCTAAATTGTCCGTAGGTGTGAATGTGAGCGTGAATGGTTGTCTGTCTCTATGTGTCAGCCCTGTGATAGTCTGGCAACCTGTCCAGGGTGTACCCCATCTCTCGCCCAATGTCAGATGGGATAGGTTCCAGCCCCCCTGTGACCTCTAACAGAACAGAAATCTCTGCACTTATTGGGCAAGGCCAGAAACCCACACTGACTGCATGTGACCTTTAATTCACCGGGCAGCACTGTGTTAAAAACCACCATGATTGTATAAAGGATGTTACTACACGGGTTCAGGAAAACTTTGGAAAACTATTGTTGGTGAACACAGTTTGCCGCTGCATCTACAAATGCAAGTTAAGACTCTACCATGAAAAGTGAAAGGTTTTCCACAACATCCAGAAACATCCAAAACGCCGACTTCTCTGGGCCCAAGCTCATCTGATAGTGACGCAAAGTGGAAAAGTGTCCACGTCAAATTGTTATTGGAAATCATGGACATTGTGTCACCAGGGCTAAGGAAGAAAAGAAATATCCAGACTGTTACCAGCTCAAAGCCCAACTTTTTTTGGAACATGTTGCAGGCATCATATTCAGAATGAGTGTATTATTACAAAAACAACAATACAATTCATAAGTTTGAACATTAAATCTCTTGTCTCTGTGCTGTATTGAATTGAACGTAGGTCAAAAAGGATTTACTGAAGTTTTTTTATTGAAGTTTTACGCAGCGTCCCAACTGTTTTGAAGTTGTCGTTGTACACTGAGCTCCTCTCTCCTCTAATTCTCAATTTGCAAACAATTATATGACATTATTGGATGTCATTAACTCGGCTTCTTCCCCAGAGCCTTTGTGCTCCCTTGTCTCACAGGTGCTGTTGCCGTGGTCCTGCTGTTACTATTAGTCACACTTCTTTTTTTTTTTTTTTTTTGGCCCGCCACCACTCCCCCACTTTTGGAGGACAACTTTATTTTTATTTACAGAACTAAAAAAGGTAAAAACAACATAAGGAAGAAGTAAGGTAAATAATCAAACAGAAAGTAAATATTTACATAGTAATACACCTTGTGTTGTTAACATTGATCTTTGAAGGTAAACAAGTAGGAGGAGGGTTATTGTGTGGCCTGACATATATACTGACAGACCGGCAGACAGACAGACAGACAGACAGACAGAGACAGATGATGAGACGGACAGACAAATGGATAGACAAGGAGGTAGCCTAACTAACTGGGGATTTTTGTGTATATGCTGCACATGTGTATGTGTGTGTGAGTGTGAGTGTGTAAGTATGTGTGTAATCTGTATTTATAAGTACTTGGATATTTCAGTGATAATGATGATATTAATAACAACAGCAGCAAAGAAAGAATAAATAAATAAAAATAAATAATAATAATAATAATAATAATAATAGAATAAATAAGAGAAAAAAGAGAGAAAAAAAGAAGAAAACAAAACAAAACAAAAAAAACAAGGTGTGTTGCAAGATTCAGTGGAATTGAGATCAGGCATTTGTAGAGGTGGATTTTTGAATAAATGTAGACCAAGTTTTGTTGAAACAGGGTATGCTGTGATTAATTGATGCGGACATTTTTTCTATTGTGATTTGATCTATTAACAGATTCTTCCAGTGTGTGATATTCAGCTGATTTCTTGTTTTCCAGTTTAGGAGGATTGTTTTCCTGGCGACAACTAGTGCTGTGAACAGTGTAGTTTTAATGTGATTATGTAATTGTACAGATGATATGTCTCCTAAGATGCAGAGTTGAGGGGATAGGGGGATGTGGCAGCCTAGTATATGTGATAGGTGATCTATGACTTGTATCCAAAATTGTCTAATTGGTGTACAGTGCCAGAGAGCATGCATGTAATTGTCTGTGGTGTGCTGTGTGCAATAAGTGCATTGATCTGATGTAGTGAAACCCATTTTATGTAATCTCTAACCTGTGTAGTGTGTTCTGTGGTTAACCTTAAATTGAATGAGTTGTAAATTTGGGATTTTGCAGTGAGTAAAGTTATTTTTGCATATTTGAGACCAGAAATCTGCATTTGGAGTGATGGAAAGATCCTGTTCCCACTTTGAGGTTTGGAGAAAAATTAAAGTGTCAGTAGTGTTTAGAAATGTATAAATCCTTGAGAGTAATTTAACAGAGCTGGAAATCTTTCATCTATAATAATTGTTTGATCTTGCCTGTTAAATGTACTGTTGATTTTGGGGAGAATGGTGGACTTAAGCTGTAAGTATTGGAGATATTGACTGTTACAAATGTCGAACTTCTGGATTAATTCTTGAAAATGGATGATTTTGGAATCCTGTAAAATATGGTGGAGATGTGTGATACATTTGTGTTTCCATGATGTGAAGTTTAATGGTTTCCTGTTTATTGTAAAATCTGGGTTGTTCCAAATTGGTGAGCGAGTGGATGGTGCAACCGTGGAGCCTTTGATACGAAATATATTCCACCAAGCTGTCAGAGCTGAGGCTATGGAAATATTCTGAAAACAAGTGTCATTTTTAATTGTTTGGCTGATGAATGGGAGATCTGAAAGGTTTATATTCTTGCATAGTGCCTATTCAGTTTCTAACCAGTGAGAATCAAAATGTGAAGAGGTGAGCCATTGTTTTAAGTATTTTAACTGACTTGACAAGTGATATAATTCAAAGTTGGGTGCATCTAGTCCTCCTTGAAACTTGGATTTTTGTAGTGTTGATAGTTTTATACGAGGTGTTTTATTTTTCCAATAGAATTGAGATATTGCTGTATTGAGGGAATTAAGCCAGGGTAAATTTGGAAGTGAAGGAAACATGGTGAATAGGTAATTAATTTTAGGGAGGACTGACATTTTTATTGTTGAGATTCTTTCTGACAGTGAGATTGGTAGATTTGTCCAGCGACTGAGGTCATTTTGTATTGATTTGAGTAATGGTGTGTAATTTAGATTGAACAGCTCTGACAGCTTGGGGGATATGTGGATTCCTAAATATTTAATATTTCCTATGGGAAGGTGAAACTGTGAGGTGAGGGCTGCCACATCCCTTTGGTCCATGCAGAGGGGTAGAATGGTAGATTTTGATAAGTTGATGGAGTAGTTGGATAGAGATGAGAATGATTTAATGACTGACAGACATTCTTGTAGTGATGAGTAGAGTTCCTGGAGGAGGATCAACACATCGTCTGCATAGAGGATTGTTTTGTGTTCCGTGGATATTGATCTGATACCTTTGATGTTATTGTTTTGTCGTATGCTAGCTGCAAGTGGCTCCAAGAAAATTGCAAAAAGTGACAGAGAGAGTGGACATCCTTGTCTAGTGCCGTTGTGAAGCGTGAATTGTTGTGAAGTTAACCCATTAGTTGTGATAGTGGCTGTCGGTGAGGTGTATAGTGCCTTAATCCAGTTAATGAATGACTCTCCGAATCCAAATTTTTGTAATGTTGTGAATAGGAAGGACCAGTTGACTCTATCAAATGCTTTTTGTGCATCTAATGAGAGGATTATGGTTTCAGTTTTCTTATTGTTTGTTAGAGCTGCATTAGGTTAAATAATTTCCGTGTGTTATAAGATGACAGCCTTCCTTTGATAAATCCGGTTTGGTCTGGATGTATTATGAAGGGAATTACTTTTTCAATTCTATTTGACAGTGCCCTGCTTATGTCATATTTTAATGTCTGTGTTAATTAGTGAGAGAGGTCGGTAACTAGATAGGTGAGTAGGATCTTTGTCAGGTTTTAAAAGCAGGGTAATTACGGCTGTATATATCGTTGGAGGTATACTGTTGGTTATGAGGAATTCATCAATCATTCTGAGAAAAAGGGGTGAGATGGTGGACCAGAAATGTTTAAAGAACTCAGCAGGGAAGCCATCAGGACAGGGTGCTCTATTATTTTCCATTTTATTGAGTGCGTTATGAAATTCAGCTGGGGTTAATGTCACACTTCTACTATTACTATACTCAGTATTATTGTCACATATATGGCACATAACTTTTTAATTAATACTTTTTTTTTATGTTTACTCTTATTCTATTCTTGTTTTATTCTATTGACGTATATATTGTAGATACATTTTCACACTTACAGCCTCAGCACAGTGCCGATATATATTTTATTTTGAATATTTTTTTTAATCTTAAGTACTAGTGTTAAACACTGTTGCATAATGCATATTTAATTTTTATTTAAAATGCACATTTTCATTGCTATTTATTTAATTTAATTTGATTTAATTTATTTTTGTTGCTATTATTGCTATTTATATAATTCATTTTATTTTATTCTATTTCATTTTATTTTATTTATTGCTATTATTGCTTTTTATATATTTTATTTTATTTTATTATGTATTTATATTTCATACTCTTCTTACTTCTAATAATTCTCTATTTTTTACATCAAGCAACTGAAACGAATCACAATTTTCCCTCAGGGATCAATTAAGCGACATTCACTGTCATATATTAATATATACAACATACATACATACTATCATATACTACATTATTCATATTTCTATTATTGTTGTTGTAGTTGTTATTGTTTTTAATGTTGTTGCCGTGCATCTTTCTTCCTCCTCTCCCTCTATGTGTCATTTTGTCATATGGATTAATGCACATTTATTATGTCGATCTGTTCTGTAAACTCGACATCTATTGCACATCTGTCCATCCTGAGAGACAGATCCCTCCTTAGCTGCTCTTCCTGAGGTTTCTTCCATTTTTTATCCCTGTTTAAAGTTTTTTTTGGGGGTCTTTCCTTATCTGCTGTGAGGGTCCAAGGACAGAGGGTTGTCTTATGTTGTAAAGCCCTCTGAGGCAAATCACTCAATTAGGTGAAGTCGGTAGATTCCAAGGTCTGAATCCAGGCAACACACCACAAACTACAGCTTTCATTAAGTTGAATCAACACCTCTCAAAAACAGTTTCCAAACTACTGAACATTAAAGCCTTCTTGACAGGAGGATTTACAGTATTGCAGAACTGTTGTTTCATATTGCATAAGTTTTGCCTTGGTGTGCCTACCAACCTGGAAACTGAGAATAGGAAGCAGTTACAGTGAAATCTATAAAATGATTACTAACCGATTTCTTGGGCTTGGGGGTGGACAGAGAGGAGGCGGGCATGTTGGATTTCTTTCTCAAAAACATCTTGAATGTGGCAGAATCAAAGTTCTCCACTGCAAAACATCTCCACGATGTCTGGAGGGGCATGAAAATAGCAATATATTGGTTGGACAGGACTAATTTCATGCCATGCAAGAGAGAAAGCAAGGGTTACATGAAAGGATGGTCTCAATAATAAGACTGGGGCTCAGAGACAGTTCACTCCCCCGGCTGTGTTCTGTTTCTGTATTTTTTTGGTCAAATACCTGAATGAGACAGGCAGCTGCGGGGATCTGTCTGTTGAAGTGTTTTTGTCTTTGCTTCTGCTGCACCTTCAGGGCGAAGCCTGAGCCTAAGATTCCCTGTGAACAACAGCACAGCAGAGTTACTGCTCATTAATTCTGTTTAACGACACACTTACAGGCAGCAGCATGACTCAAAAGACAGAAATAAACACAAAGTTAAACAAAAATTAGGAATAATGGGCCATTTAATACTGAAACATTTAAGTCTATTATTCACTTCGCTCATCAACTGAAATTAATAGATTATGTTAATCACTTACGTCTTTTCTCAATCAAACACTGTATTATCTGTTGGTTACACTCTCTTAAATGGAAGGGGTTTCTTCCATTTTTAAATTTTATGTCACTGCAAATTGCAAAGCGTTTGAGCTCTAACTGTCACATGTTTCATACACTACACTATAAATACTGAACCACAGATAATCCAGTTATTCATGATGGAAACTAACTGTAGATGCCTAATCATAATTCTTAAAGCACAGAACCTTTAAACCAAAGACACTGTTAATGTTGCTTTTTATGCCACGTCTCAACCAGAGGCGATCCTAGACTGCCCATTGAGGCCCCCTGCTTTTCACTTTGACACCAAATCGTCATCGACTTGTTGTTCAGCTGTCCTTACTCTTGTCACATGATTCGTGAAATCTAACTCCTGCTGCTCTGTGCTGCTGCTACTGCTGTGTTACGGGCCGTACACATGCCGCATTTTTTGCGCCCTCAAATTCATCCTTGTCAGTGTAGACATGCAGCAGGCGTGATGAAATGCTACAGGAAAACTGTTGCGGTGCACATGCGTTCCCGAGCGCCTTTTTTTCCAGCGCATGACTGCTGCGCCCTAAAATGAACAGAGCTCAACTTTTGGAACACAGCAGCAATGGCGAGGAACAACCAATCGCAGCCAGCAAATACCTTTCCCTTCAGTCTATAGAGCCTATAATAAATAGAACACAAAGTTAAAAACCAAGCGGCATGTTTGAGTGTGTAATAGTGCATCAACAGCCGCACACAGTCGCAGCAGTATAAAGTACAGAGGAAAGACTTGAGCCAGACCCGCAATTTCCACACACTCCGTCTGCGCTGCATATACGCTCCCATTCTAGTGAATAGCTTCATTTCCACAGCGAGCACTGCACAGCGTCTCTGGAGCGTCCCAGAAGTGCCACAGCACTCTGCTGCATTGGAGATACATGCCAGGTCTATTTTTCAGCAACTGCCCATCTATAGCACGTCAAGCCACATAGCTCAGATCGCACCAGACTGGAAACAGAATGCACACAGCATCTGGTAAATTTCAAAATACAACAGAATGCACGGACTACAGATTGTAAACTCTCAATTTTTTAAAAATCATGTCACATCCTGTCGCACAACTTGTTTCTCTCTTTCTCATTCTGAATGAACTATTGTTTTGGTCTGGCTCACACTTTATCAATTGCTTTTTATCGCGTGATTTCGCAGTTCCCATGTGAGCTTGCGGCTCCGCTACGCGGCGCGGCGCTCCAGAAATGCATCCAGTAGGCAAGGGTAAGCGCCGTCTGTCGCACAGCGTGGCGCAAACAGAGTATGTTGAAATTGCGGGAGAGAGTTCATAAGCCTTATAGCCTCTGGTAAGAAGCTACACTTAGCCTCGCCTGGAAGGAGATCAGCTCTGCACTCTGGATTTCTGGTCAGCAGGCTATGATATGGTGCTGTTTATGGTTGCTTAGGAACCTCAGACGCAACCTGCCTCTGCGCCCTTGAGAGATGGTACAGAGTAGGCACTAGTAAGCCTAGTTTATTATTGTCATTGCAAAATGTGCCAGTATCATGCCATGGGGGCCCCTTTTCCCAACATTTTTTGAAGGGGTGGCCCAAACATTTTCTTGGTTTGCCTTTCTTAACGGTGCCTCCCTGAGCTCAACTTTGAGGTCCTGGGACCTGCAGCATCAACAGCTAATGGAATTTTTTTAAAAATCAAATTTAAACTAACAGGTACCTTGTGACAAAAATGATATAAATCTAATGTAACCCTGTGAGCTGCAGCAGGAGAATGTTGGTACAATGTAAAGGCGTTTAGGGTTTGTCAAGGTCCTCACAGCACTTAAGGCACAATATTATGAACATATGTATGAAGCTCTTAAACTGTAATCCTCCCAAATCTTGGCAGTGGCTGGTGGAACACGCGAACCAGCTTTGTTCTATGGTTTTGTGGTTTACACATGAATCACAGCCACAGTAGAGCCTAAAGTAGGCACTCTGTGTTGCTTAATTCATACTTAAAAGACCAAACTAATTAGCCTATAAATGTAGTTCAGTTGGAATTCATCTGAAGGAAACAGTGTGGTTTAGCCTGAAAGACGTCCTGGTTCAGCAATTTCTCTTTCCACTTACTGCAGGCAGAGCAAAGAAGGAAATGGCAAAAACTGAGAAACAGGACGCAATGGTCTTTCCAATCCAGGTTTGTGGTACTTTGTCTCCATATCCAATGGTGGTCACGGTCACCTTAGAAAAAACAAACACAACAGGGAAATGAATATAATATGCTTTATTCTGCTAGTTTCATTCTATTAAAAAAAAAAAAAAAAAAAAAACTATCACTGCTTTAAAAGAGATGTTCCAACAACTTGTCCACATTTAGGTGTGGAAAGAGGAAAAAAGAAAAACTATAAACAGCAAAAACTATTCTTCAATTTTTTTTAACAATCAACCAGCTGTGGTTTGAGTTTTTTGGGGGGCGGGGCTTTGCTGAAGGCAAAACAATTCTCCACAGACATTAGCAAGTGCTAGCTAGCAAGTTCTGTTGGCTTATTGTAGACAATTGAAGAAGATGATGCAAGTGGTGCATTCAGAAATACTCATTCAGAGTGCTGGAGTACACTCTGGCACAAACTGGACCATTTGTAAATTTGTTATCAAGAGCACCGCACTCTCGGGGTGGCAGAGCGCCGAGCGGAGTGATTGTGTGATTAACTTAACCTTTCTTTAATTTATACAGAAATATAATAAAAAGCGCTTTGGGGTTGCATTTTTGATGTATGAAAGGCGCTATATAAATAAAGCTTGATTGATTGATTGATTGATTGAATATATATTTCTTCATCCAAGGTCTCTCATTTTAGTATAGAGTGTCAGACTGAATTTACAAAAGCACCATGTCAGGTCACTCACTCTCCGGGGCCACGTGTGTTACTTGAATAAGTAAACACTGACCAATGGGGCCAGACTGGCCGACCTGTATGCTCTCACTCAATGGATGGATGATGTGACAGGAAATACTTTTTCCCTAACCTGATATGAAGTATGCGCTGCACATGTGAGCATTTTGATGATGGCCTCCATCCAGTCCTTTGGTCTTATCACATTTAACCATAGTTGTCCTCATATTTGTTGACGGGCAGTGGCGGCTGATATATATGCAACAAAATTTAAGTTTTGAGCCATGACTCCTTCTATTCTGGCTCCCAATAACACAACAAGATGACATTTTAAGATTCCCATGTAGCCTACAGCCCTGTGTTTTGCCTCCAGCTAATAAAAAGACTTCATTGTGACTTCGGCCCTAAAAGGGTTTACTGGCAGAAATGGTACAGGCTACACTATTCTGAACTGTGTTTTCATTAGTTTATAATCACCTGAAAATGAGAATTGTTGTTTTTGCTACCTTGGAATGAACCGTTAATATCTGCATATGAAGCAGGTCTTCCACAGAATCCGCCCTGTTGCTCAACAGTGGACCAGAACGGAAAAACCAAGCTCTAGAAAGGGCCAATTATATTTTTGTGTTGGCCACTGTAGTTCTCATGCATGCTTGACAAACAGGGATGTTTTTGCAACCTCACAACCACTAGAGTCTACAAACAAGACCAGTGGTGTCAAACTCATTTTAGTTCAGGGGCCACATACAGCCCAATTTGATCTCAAGTGGGCTTGACCAGTATAACCACTGCATAATAACCCTTTAAATAACAACCCCTTCAAATTTCTCCCCTATTTTAGTGTGAAGCAGTACATTCTGAAAAAGTTCATCCATTTACAAATGATGAACAACCCGTGACATCCTAAGAAAACTGACACCTCTTAGCCTTCTCAAGTGCATCAATATTGGGTGTGCAAAGTCATCTATTGGGCCGGATTGGACCCTTTGGCGGGCCACTTCTGGGCCCCGGGCTGTATGTTTGACACCCCTGCATTAGACCTTTAAATCTATTGTGAAAGAGACAGAATCTCTGGGATGTCTGTGTCTAAACTAATGCATGTGTACTACTTTCTATATGTGGCGCTTTCTGCACCTCCTTGGGATGTTTTATATTATTTTATATATATATATATATATATATATATATATATATATATATATGTATATTATTGTAGTGTTGTCTGTTTTGTATCTTTTATAGTCACTTGTTTTTTGTGCTGCTGCTTATCTTGAGCAAAAATAGATTTTCAATCTTACTGGGACCTATCCTGGTTGAGTAAAGGTTAAATAAAAAATGTTTGTACAACAGTTAATCAGTCATGCAGATATTTCAGTGTGGGTCAAAGTGATGGACATTTCCATCCCTCGAGCCATGTTGCTAGCATAACAGAAATCATTTTAACTAACACTTCTAACACAGCTTCATGAGGAAATGAGGAAAATGTTCAAACGCTGTGTCATTTTATTCGTCAGTATGCTCTACATGTAAATGATTTGTGACTTGACCCAAAAAACAGCTCTGGCTGTTTGTGATGAATCCACTTTGAGTGTTTGCTGTGGTGCATGTTTTCCATGACCCTCCAAAAACAACTCTGACCTTTTCACCTCTCGGACTCTAACCCACATCTTCATGCACTCAGAATACAGACTGTGAGTGTGTGAGAGCAGACTCAAACCTGATAACACTCACGGAATATAGTGTGCAAATATTGCAAATAAACCTTCATTTATATGAGAGAAGTGGTTATGACTGCTGTGTGTGTGTGTGTATGTGTGTGTACGTTTTTTAATATCAGAGTCCCTGAAGTTTCCGAGAGGCAGAGTGGGTGGTGACTTATTGTCTGAAAATAAATTTTCATCCTGTATTCTCTGCACTACTTGTTTTGTTGCTTGTATTAGCGGCCCACTAGATGTGCCCAAGGGTTTTCACACAACTCCTACTGTAACAACAGTAGTACAGATAAAACAGTTCATGTTCGACCTTTCACTTGCCAAATACTGTTTGAAACAAGTCAGCGTTTTCTGCAAACTCTTACTTTCGCCAAGACTGAAGAGTGACTAAAACAATATTTAGAGGATGAGTCAATAACACCTTCTCTGAAACATAGCACAGTTAATGCCATTGTTATTGTTAGTGCGATAATTGTTCTGTGGAGTCTGATCAAAACGTGATGGTGAATGCAAAATTAATTACAGGACTTTAATAAATAATTGAACTACAACAAATGTATTAAATCACCAAAGCTGACTTAATTAAATGGTAATCAAAGGAATAGTTTCACATTTTGGGGAATATGTTTATTTATCAACTTGCTGAGAGTTAAAGAGATATAAGATAGCACTCTGGTGTCTGTATGTGCTTAAAAAATAGACATAATGGACATGAAACAGACAAATCATAGACTTGTTAAACTATAAATCATAAAATCAAGTAAGATTTTAAAAGAGTTGCAGCAGTGTGAAGCGTAAAAGAAACATCCCTCAAGAAAGACTTGCTCCACTATCAGGATCAGGATATCCATTCAGTCCGATAACATTTGGCAAGTCTAGAACAGCCGCACAATTTAATTATTTCATCCCGTTTCAAATTAGCAGAGAGCTAAACCCAAAGTAACCGGCTCAGCCAAGGAAGTCTCTAGTGCGCTCGCTCTATGGGCCCAATGATGTGGAAGCAGCGCCGATCATCTGGGTAATTTCATACCACAGAAATAGAGCTTTTTTTTGGCTTCATGCGCCACTGAGCAACTTTCACAGGAATGAGCGGAGTCCCACCTTCGGCGCTGTATTCAGGTCTCTTCAAATATTCATGGTGTCCACTGGGACCCATTGTAACTACCATACACCACTGAGACATGCACAATATTGACTGCACCAGGTATGATGCACCCAGACACACACACAGATTCTTACCACTCCCCACCACAGGGCATCAGCGTAGTTTCCAAACTCATTGGAGCCACTGCTGTCGACTGCATCTTTCTCTGCCAGGTAGACAAAGTACGAGGAGAAGATCAGGCTCAGAAAGCCAATGTATAACGTAGTGATCAGCTCCTGAAATACACACGCACGACATATTTCATTTACAACAAAGGGATCATTTCAAAGAACACAACATGATTATATGATTTGAATCTATATGTGCTCTCTTACACAATCCGTCCTGATTGCCACAACGTATCAGTTATATCACTTCAGCGGTTAACAGCCTGGAGGCTAGTGTGGCTGTCTTTGCTAATAAAATGACATATGGATGTGAATATTCATGTAAATGTGCTGTGAATATGATGATTAAAATACATTTCTGAGCATCCCGCCGTCTCTGTGGGCTTGATGATGAACTAAAAGTGGATTCACACTTTAAGCTCAGTGGCTTCTTATCAGTTCGCTGGAATGATGTTGTACATAAAGGATGGGGCTGGCATTATTCTGAGACCAAGACCGAAACCAACAATGTGTGAGTCCATTTCTCAATACTGTGGCGCTCAGCCCCCAAGCCAATTCTCTCCTATTGAAGACATAAATCTTTAAAAATGGGTCACAAATATTTTGTTTCATTTGTTTTCATGGCTCGGAAATTTCTTTAACAGCTGGGCATTGTTACTCAAACGGGAGTAAATAGTGCATTCATTAGCTTTATTAACTATTCTGAGCCACAGGTTAGTACACATCTATTGTGCCGGTATATATGTCAGCAGGACGGTGCATGTGGGATTGGCTCAAAATAAACAGAGGCTGTGTTCATTGTAATGAACAAACATGTCACCCAGTGCACCGGTTAGGCTCCTTAAAGTGTTTTTAAGTTTCGGACAACAATGGAGCTCAATGGCGCTCAGGGAATAACTTATATCAGGCTTTGGCTCCACAGAAAACACTTGTTAGTGGGATCAATTCATCATTGATTTTAGTCGTTTCATGGGATTTGTTGACATGCTATCCACACTAAAGCTGCATAAAATAACTCAAGCACAAATTTAATAGTCAGGTCTCATCTTATTGATTATGAATGGCTCCATGGTATGTATTCGGTGCTGTATATATGGTCATGTACAAACTGCAGTATACACTGTCAGCTGCTGTTGTTGACTGGCTTCATAATATATCATAAAGACCATATGTTCTATTCACCCGGGGCCTCATTTGTTAATTGTGTTTGTTCAGAATTAATATGTAAATCAGGACATGTTTCATGTCTGGATGTATTGCTTACATTAACGACATCAAACCAGACACCCTCTCTGCAAAGCTGCATTCTTAATCATTCACCCAAACAGCTCATTTTGAGGCTAATTTTCAGTGCCAGTTCTTTTAGCCAAAAATCGGATGGATTGGATGAAATCTTATTTGAAAGTTTGAGTCTTGAGTCTTGAGTTTGATGCTCAAGATGTTCATTCTTGGTCTTGACTAAAATTGTGGCAATCTGCTATCAGTGCTACAGGAGGTTATCATATTTTGGCTAATCACACACACCATCCCGGACACAGACACACCTCCACTCATAAACTAATCCATTAATTTATTGTTTCCAACATTTTTGTCAACTAATCCTGTAATGTGTATATTGTCAACTTTTTATATCAACTAAAATTAGACTAAATGTCAGGTGTCTTTATTTTTATTATTAAAATATGACCAAAACTAACACAGACATTTGATCTCAGAACTAAAACTTAACATAAAAAAATGAACACTACTTCATGAGTTATATGTGAAAGTGCATCATACTTTTCATTGTTAAGGTCTTAAGATCAGACACATCAATTTTGAAGTCGATCAGATTAAATTTCTAGGAGGAAAAATGCACAAAAGTGGCACAGTAAATTCAAAATGGCCGACTTCCTGTTGGGTTTAGGATATGGCTCTAAGAGACTTTTTTGTACATCTTGGGGTGTTACATGTGCCAACCAAGTTTCCTATATGTAGGTAAAACCAGCTTCAGGGGCTGTTCCTTCGAAATTTTGTAGGGGGTGCTACTGAGCCATTTTTTGCAGCTGACCATTAGACCCCCTAAAAATTCACATTTTTCACCAGTTCTGATAGAGGTGCAAAGATGTGGGAGTTTTTGAGTATGTTAAGTCCCCCAAAAAGGTAATTCATTTGGAGGACAAAGACGAATAATAAAAAGTCCTTGCATTTCCAAAGGGTCCTTGCAAGGTATGGTGCTCGGCCCGTAATTACTGCCTCACATTGAATTTCTGGCATCAAGCTTTTATTTTGAAGTGCTGTTTGCTGCTGTAGAGTGAATGAGTAACGGACAGCAACTTAACAGAGATGTCAAACTAGCTTGACGACATGGCCGAAGAAAAAATCTGGACCCTGTGGCTGGGCCATTTGGGAACCCCTGATGTAAAGGATACATTAAAACTTTCCAGAAAGTCACAGAACTTTCTGGATCAGACAAAGTTTAGGGAAGCTGCTGTGCGCTGCTCTTCATCGGAGATAGAAAACCAAACACTAACTGAAAACACTCCGGATAAGGCATGAATCTCTTCATGGTGTGGCTTATTGTCCGCACTAACTTCACCACCTCTGATAAAGTGCAGCTCCCGGCTGCTTTGCCAAGCTTGTCAGTGGGAAGCACGCGCAGCGACACGGAGCAGTTTCAGTTAGTTTTCACTGTGGGTTTGCTCGTTTCAGTTTAGATTTTATTGCTCTAAAATGTTTCATTTTAGTTTAGATTTTATTAGTTTTGTCATGATCCAGGGTTTTTGTTTTATATTCTGCTATCCTATGGACTTTGTTTTAGAGTTTTCTATTTGTGTTCCTTGTTTCATGTTATTCATTCATGTTTAATCTGCTTCCTGTTTTATTTTGTAGATTCTCTCCTCATGTGTCATGTCTGATTTTACTTCCTGTCTTTGTGTGTTTCCCGCCTGTTTGTTGTCACACCAGTCTCGTTAGTCCTTCCCATCACACCTGTTCTGCATCAGTCTTGTTTGCTCCACCCTAGTGTTCCCCACCACACCCTTGTTGTAAGCCTGTCTCCATTTCCCTCCTTTTGCCAGTGTCCTCCTGCTCCAACTGTGTCTCGTTCTTGTGATTAGTCTTCTGTGTGTTTCATTTTGTTCCTTGTAAGTTTGTCCTGTGTTATTCATGTGCTCACCCCAATGTTCTTGGTGTTGTTCCCTGCTCTGTTTCCTGCCTGGTGTCTTGTGTTCTGTTTGGTTTTAACCTGAGTTCATCATATTATCCTGGTTAGTTTTCAGTTTAGACTTTCTGTTACCTGCCTGTTCTGGATGTTTTTTATCAGCGGTATTAAAGCTTGCTTTTTGTTAAACCTCAAACCTGCCTGCTGCTCTGCATTTGGGTCCCTCCTGAACTGATTCCTGACAATTTTCAGCAGTAGTTTAGTTGTAGTTTTTTAATGTAATATAGGGGGCATTTGTCAGGGACAAAATTTAAAAAGTTTAGAAAAGCTATTACAGCACAAACACAGCACTGAAGGCAACTGACTCACAGTCATGATGTCCCAGTCTCAATGAACTTGAACACAACACCCTCCTCATGCTTGTTGTGTTGACAAATTCGACCAAATTGACAAAGGTTGTATTTTATTTTAACATTTTGCAAGTTTACAATATTGTTCGGTTAGTTTTCATTTTTTCTAAAGTCTAGATTTTATTTTTATTTTGGCAAACTGAAATGTTTTAAATTAACTATAACCTTGGTTAGCAAGAAACTGCAAAGCCAATCCTAGTATAGTGACACTGGGTTAGGGAGCGTGACTCGTAGTATTCAATTTCAATTCAGTTCAGTTCAATTCAGTTTTTTTTATAAAGCCCAATATCACGGATCACAATTTGCCTCGGAGGGCTTTACAGCATATTACATGCCTCTGCCCTTGGACCTTCACAGCAGATAAGGAAAAACTCTCCAAAAAAAAAAAAAACCTTTAACTTGGAAAACAAGTAGAGAACAAGATCTGTTAAACATTCATGTACCATTGCCTGGACACTGATTGACAGTTGTGATTATATTTCAAATTTTGATCAAAATAATTGGTGAGGACAATTCAGTAGTCTCTGAATATTACTAAGAACATCCCTACCATCACTACCAAATTCTTCGCCCATGCAGAGGACAACCTGAAAATCATAATGCTTCTAGCTGTCTCTGGCATAGAGACATAAAAGTACCTGTACCATAATGCTGTATGCTGGGGGCAAAAGTGCAACTGAGTTTTAACTTAAAATATATTCAGTAACAATAACCAATCAATAGAAGGGTGTTGATTGAATTCAGGCACTAAATCATTAGAAATGAGTTTGAAACCCAGACAGCTGCTCTCTCCCGGTGTATTTAAAATAACTATGAGGCATCTCATTGCAGATCCAATAAGGAGCTGTCTGTGATTTGCTCAGGAGGTCTAATTGGGCCTGGCTCTTATCCTGTCTGACTGTAATTGGACTACTGCTTTTTGAAAGAGCTCTTTAAGTGAATGTGCACTCACCTACTACGTAATTCAAGCTGTGTTTAACCACTCGGAGTGCACTCACTGCACTGAATCCAACTGAATTCCTGACAAGTGAAATTTTTATTTGTGTCTCGGCCCAAAAGTGTCACTCCCAGATTTTTCAGAGCGCCGCGGAGGAGCAGCAGCAAATTATTGAGAAAACGACCCGGGAGATGGCTGTTTGCCTCCCTTGAAATAACCAAACCTACCCTTATATTACCCTACATAAACAGTGCTTATGCTCCTTTGGTACTCAGCATCTGCGTCTGTATTTCTTCATATGCCTACACTTTTTTTCCTGAATGTTTGGTACATTTCTGGGCATCAAACCTTTGGCAGTAAACATGAGAGCCTGTAACACTCTCAACTAACATCTCTGCTTGCAACTCAGAGGTGCGTGCTTCTTGGAAATAACAGCTTGTGAAGCATTCAGGTACATCTTCCCTGAGTCACTACCAGAGGTTTAGTAGCTGCTGTGACCTGGCAAACACATTCAGAAAACATGTGCTTCCAATCTGCCAGCGAGCAAACGTGGAGCAACTGTGCAAATTGTGTTTCCAAGCCATGAGCACTAGAATGCTTCTCAGTGTGTATTTAAATG